TGCAAAATGATAAGAATATCAGCTTGGAGGGTTCAGGGTATCTCCTAGTCGAGCAGTATCGACTAGAGTCTTCTTACTTGTTTTAGTTGTTATACCCTGAACCCATTGATTCTCTTTTACCGGTTTAGTATTACATTTTGTGTGTTCTGTCACAGGGCATTCTTTTCTATGGCTCCAATTTGAAAACCTTTGACTATCCACTGCCACGTCGACGAAATCACCAATGGGGTCTGCTGCACGAGGAGTCGCCACGGAATGTGCCCTTTGTGCCCTACACTGAATTCCTGCAGCATTTTAATTATACGTCCACATTCAGCAGACACAGCAATTTACCTCTGACCACACAATATCTGCCCTATGCCAGCGATTTGAGTTCGATGGATTTCTTTCACTCCTTCGCGGATAAGGGTGTGCTGCAGTTTAATGATAAAATCGGTTCGGTGGTCTTTCTGCAAACCGATTGCAATACGATGTCCGGGCGAGAGGATTACGTGCAGGAGCTAATGCAGTACATACAAGTGGACTCATACGGCGGATGTCTACACAATCGGGATTTGCCCGCCAAGTGAGCAGGAGCTGCAAAATTCTATCTATGTACATTATGCCTTATATTCCTATCTTCCAGCCTACAACATGACTATTTAAACAATCTGTATTCGGATGAATTGCTGCTCTTCCTGTCATCGTATAAATTCATGATTGCCATCGAGAATGGCGTTTGCGAGGATTACATTACGGAGAAATATTGGCGTCCACTCATTGCTGGCATTATACCCATTTACTTTGGTTCGCCCAGCATACGCGTATGTTGGCATAGCCTATAAAATCCCATTATCTGTTTATAGCAACTATATAAACTGTGAACTTTTTTTAGGACTGGGAGCCGCACCCGAACTCCGCCGTTTTTGTGGATGATTTCGCCAATGCCTCCGCGCTGGCTGCTCACTTGCACTTTTTGGATGACAATGCTACAGCTTATGATTCGTATCGCAGCCACAAACTGAATCGCGCTAACCCAATTGCTAATCCGATGCTTTTGCAGCATTTGCTAACGCGTCGCTATCATGCTGGGCCGCAGAAAGAGGAGCTATCGCTGTTTCATAAGTTCGAGTGCCTCATGTGCGAGTATGCCACTTCCATGCTGAAGTCGCAGTCGGCCAATGAGAAGCATTACAGCTGTCCACTGCCTCCGGTCTATGCGCCACTGCAGCAACACAAGGAGCCCAAGTACGCAAGCGATTGGCGCTCCATGATGAATGTGGGTCGCTGTCAGGCACAGCTTCTGGACACATTCTTTCGGGCAAATCGCAGCTTCACATCAGCGGAATTTCAAAAGGAACTGAATCGAATGGTTCAACAAGAATTGTGCGACTAGAAACGACAAGCAACGCAAACAAAGAACTCAACTGCCTTATTTTGTAATCTTATAAGCAATATGTACTACACGGTAGTTAGTCTATATGTGGACTGACCAGCATTTAATGCAAGCTATATATAAATATGTGACGACCTTAATATAGTACACAATCTGTGTATATATCAGTTTAACAGCTAAACATATTTAATATGACAATATTTGCAGCCATCTTTAAATACGTGTGGCTTAGTGATATACATATATGAATACAATAATGCCAAAGTACATACATATAATTAGTTATAATAAATCATCGTGATCAACATACACACTTACACAGACACATACAACATTCCATATATGTGTAATTATAATTTAATTATAAATTTCACATATATATACACGTACATTCCATATATGTGTAATTATATATGTATGTATAAATATATATAAATTTCAAATATTTTAAAACCTATTTTAAATTTTTATATTGATTAAAAATTTTTTATTTTATTTTTATTTTAAAGATTCTGATTTACAATTACAGCTCCTGCGAACTGCGCAAATTTCATGTGCTTTATTTTGATACCTATTTAATATATATATCATATTGATGCTAGGATCAATACGATAATACGTTTTAAAAATTATTAAATAATAGTAAGTCAAAAGTCAGTGTTATATAGTATACATCTCACTCATATTAGCCCCTTTATCAAATGCAAATGATCAATTATAACCCAATTTTATTATCAAGCAAGTGCTTTTAGAGACATAATTGAATATTCAAATTCAATTTAAGTCATTTGCAGATCAAAGTACTCATCGTAGTCTCAAATCATCCCATGTTCTTCCGTTATGCACAAAGTATCTTCAGATTTGATTAGAACAAAACAAAAAGTGCTTTCTTTATTATTCGATATCGAAGTGTGGCTTACATCTGCCAGTGCATTTGAGGATTCACCTCCTTCAGCTGTCCCATGCTGACGATCCACATGCTGCCATTTTTCATCATTTCGATGGCCTTCATGATTTGAGTGGCCGCCTGCTCGGGCGTCTGATGCTTGGCACTCTCGATGGCCTCCACCATCGACTCGGAATGGCTCCAGGTGACATTGTCGCGCAGATTCATCATCATCTCGGTGCTGGTTAGACCTGGGCACATGGCCATAAACATAACTCCGGTCATCTGATAGATGCGCTTATCGCCCATCGAACGGGTGAATCCAATGACGCCATGCTTGGCCGCTGCATAGACGGCAAAGGCTGGTGCCGGTTCCAGGCCATAGACCGAGGACATGTTGATAACCATGCCGCCTTTGCCCATTTGCGTCTTGTCCATGTAGGGCATGGCCTTCATGGTCATGTGAATCATGCCCATCTGCAGAGAGAGTGAGGGATAGAGACAGTTAGTTTATGATGCATCCTCTGATTTAGTTTGCCTACCAAATTGACGCCCATCGTAGTCTCCACATCCTTGTCGAGCAGCACATCCTCACAGTTCAGCAGCACATCGATGTTGCCCATCATTTGTCCCATTTTCATCATCGCCTGCTCAATGGATGATTTGTCCATTAGATTCACCTGCATGAAGACGACCTTCACGCTGGGATTTTCCGCCTGAAGTTTCTTCATCATCTCCACGTTCTCCATGCGATGCATGATGCCAACCATTTTCATCTTCATCTGGCGCTGCATCAGCTGATGCATCAGCTGGAGTCCAATGCCCGTGAAGCCACCGGCGTAAACCACGTTCTTGCCCGACCAGTCGTACATCTTGCTAGATTGCTATGCCAAATGCAATTCGGATTGCGCCTTTTATATGGTGAGCGTCTGCTATATCACGAGCACATATATTATTATAATGCTGATTAACCTGCATGGGGTGTTCGGTCAGAGGTCAGCTGCATTGGTCATGCGACCAGATGTTTGCTTTTCGACAATACCTCAGATAAGCTGAAATTGCAGGGTTTGATGACTTTTTTTTCGTCTGTTTTTGCTTATGCCTTATCAAAGTCCGTAAAAGAAGAATTTCTAGATTTGTGTAGCTTTTGCGCAGCTTAGAAATGCATAAATCCTAAATCTATTATTTTCTAGAATTTCTTTCAGATTATGTAATATAAAGATAATTTGCATCATGAAGAATATAAATCTATTTACATATAAATACATATATACTTCTAAATATTTATTATTATATGAATATATATTCTGGTTTTTTTAGGTTTAAGATTGAGATGAAGATTAACAAAATTTTTAATTATGCGAAAAGGAAAATTTGATTTCTTAAGTTTCTTATCTCGCGTCTCCTCCTCCTATAAAAGTAATTGCTCCCAAAGAATATATAATACATAATAGCGTAATAGGACGAATTGCCAGCAGAAAGGAGAGAGATAACAATATGATGTATATTTCTCTGCATATATACATATATAGAATATACATATATTTATAATAAGAATATATAGAGGAGAAAAAGCTCTATTATTTACAAACAAAAGTATTCTCAATAAATTCAACAAATTTTAAAAGCCAAAACTTCACAAAAACAATCCTTAAATATGTTGAAAAAAAGAAAAGAAAAGTAATTATCATTTGAATTAAATACTTTTAATAATTTATTTACAAAATGCTGAACATTTTTACGCTTAAGATCTAATGAAATGTTGTAGACAATCACAGATGTTTATGTTAAAATGAAACCAAGTAAATCTTTTGAGTCACATAAAATCAAGATTTCGTTGAGCATGGATTTAAGTTAATAGTAGTTAAGGCCATGTCAGATGAGTATTTCACAAGTTCTTTGAATAGATAATGAATACTGGCTTGGAAAATACTCGGAAAGTTGTATATAGGAATAATATGTTATTAAAGTGGATGTTAAATGTTAAACGACTGTTAGATTTAACAGCGATTTTCTTATTTAATGGGCAACGTGTATAGTATTTCAAGAAGGAATTCACACATGTTGATGCAGTGAATGTTAAATGACTGTTAAATTTAGCAGGCAATCGATATTGATCTGCTGTTCAAGAAACTAATCTGAATGGCAATTAGTTTGAAATTGTGATCTAAAGTGACTTAAAAACAGAACCAGTGTCATGATAGCATTGGGTTAGTGAATGGGGGTCCCCTATAGTTGATGTAAAATGAGGGCAAGTAGGGGCAGAGCCGTTGCTAAATGTCTAGCCGATATGTCCTTTGTTGGTGGCACGCGAGTCGGTGGGTTTTCGGATGTCTCAGCTGTCGACGACGTCTCCTCCCGTCCATCGGGCATATAATCACCGCAGGTGGGAAAATTATGCGGCACCGGCACCATTTTATCATCGTCGCCCACTTTGAGCACCAGAGCCATACCGATTTCCGCATGGAACTCAATGTGACAGTGGAAGAGCCAATAGCCGGGATTGTAGGCCTCGAAGCGTATGATCGTGTAGCCGCCATCGGGCACGGTGACCGTGTCCTTGACCGGAGGATTGATCAGGTTGCGCTTGAGCAGCTTAAATTGATCCAATTGCTTGATCTGCAACGGGAATAATATTTGATAAAACTTAATTGGATATTCGAATTAATCACTCACCATTTCAATTGTCACATTCTCGCCCAGACGCTCCAGCCCGATGACGCGAAACGCATTCCCATGCAGATGGAACGGGTGATTGGCATAGAACGTGAAGCCCTCGTCGACGATGATCAGCTCGACGACCGCATTCAGTGGCACCTGCAGCACGTGATGGCACTTGCAGAACTGTTCGCGGCAATCGATGCCCTGCTGGGCGAGCGTCGTCTCATTGCAGAAGAGCTCGTCGCTCAGCTGATGACGTTGCGGCAGCAGCGCCACCGATGGAAACTTGAGCGAGATGTGATTCAGCTGCGGCGTATACAACATATTCTCCCTGGTCACATTGTGAGCCATGCTGTAGTAGTCGCTGTGATGGAATTCCGGATTGTCCTTGCGATAGAAGTCGTAGTAGACAAAGAACTTGTAGTCGGCCTCCGGCTTCAGGGTGTCATCATCGATGCCCGACACCGAGTCGTAGATGGGCAAGGCGCGCATCTCGGCCACGGTCTTGGTGTCCGGATAGCCCGGCCCGCGATTCATCACGTTCAGCTCAATGCCCGTCGCATTGTGATCGTAGCGCAGCTCGGCGCTCGGCTCCGCCTCGGGCGCGCCTTCATAGCGCAATATGGCCACCTGAAACGCGGACGTAAACCGCTCGCTGCAGTCCATCAGACCCTTGAGACGCACCCAATAGTTGTTCACCGCCTGATTGGCATTCAGCACAAAGTCGAAACGTTCGCCCGAATAGGTGACAATGGAGCCCACCTCCATGGCCTCAATGTCATAGCCATCCGAATTGATGGCGGTCAGCATGTGATTATCCACAGACACCACGATCGGGCAGTTCAGGTACTCGGCGTTCACAATGCGAAAGCGATATCGAAAGCCGCGCTTCACATGGTACACCTGATGCGGTATCTGCTCCAATGGGATCTCCTGCAGATTCCCACGACGTGGACGCGAATGAGGCGCTGTTGCGGCTGACGACTCGCTGCTGTTGCTCGGCGGCTGCAACGGCTCACTGGAGAGCAGTTGGATGAGATTTGGTGGCGTTGCTGCTGGAGCAGTTGTGGTTGCTGAAGAGAAATT